TTGTAGTGACGTCTTGTCTGTCAGAGAAGTCTGGGTCTGGCCAGACTCTTAAGTGTGCCAATAGAGAACTTCCTGTTAACAAACAAAACCTGGAGCCCTTGGACCACAGGGTAGTCAAGAGCTTTGTCTTGGTTTATGTGACCCCAGAGAAAGGGCAACTATGTGGTTTCCTTTCCCAATTTGTAGGCTAGCCTAGAACTTCCATGAGGGTAGTGGTGGGAATGAAGAAGGGAAAGAGCCCAGCCTATACCTCAAGAGTCTGTTAGTGTTAAGACTCCCTCTCCCAGGCTTAAGATTCTTCTTTGATTCTAAAGACAATATCAGATTTCTTCTAATTCCAAGGCTCTGGATCAGAAGCTGCCATATCATTTGTTTCTGGGCCTGTATCCCCACAAATCCTAGTATATTCCCTTGGGCTTTGATGCTCAAAAAATATTTGTCAGTTGCTGGGTCTGTGACATTCTTTAGGTACCTCGTACATGTTCAGTTTTGTCTTATGTCACCAGTATTTCATACCTTTTGCAAATTTTATTAGTGCTAAAAGGAAGTGACAACTGAAACTAATGTTCACAGTCAGTCGAGACTTCCCATTTCTGGGGGGACTAGCAGGAAAAGAATATTTAGACTGATGCTGAGTGCAAGATGGAATATTGTACATGTTAACCAGCAACACAAAGACTTATTCAGAAGACCTAATAGGTTGGAGGAATAACACACCTCACCAAAAACAAACCTGTATGGAAATCTAGAATCCTGTGCATAGAAAAAGAATTTTCATAAGGATAAAAAGAAGCAAAGAGAAGTAATGCTGTTATTGGGGTATACATCAGTGGACATGTGCTGACCAGTAAGAACAGCAGGAGGCCTAAAGGCCCAAGTTTGGGGAGAGAATATGGAAAAAAATGGATGGCATCATTTGGAAAAGATTTAAGATATTAAAATACATGGTAAGAGCTACTCAACTCTTATTTTCCTCCTTTTCCACAAAGACCCGAACAAACTGAAAAGGTAGGACATTAAGTAGGGGAATTGTATGTTGCAAAAGGGAAATACTCTTTATGCAAGAAAGCTCTTCTGTATGTCAGTAAGAAATGTAATAAGCCAAGCACAAGAGGCTCACAAGTATAATCCCAGCACTTTGGGAGGCCAAGGCTGGAGGATTGCTTGAGACCAGGAGTTCAAGACCAGCCAGGGCAGCATAGCAAGAACCCCATCGCTACAAAAAATAAAATCTGCCAGGTATGGTGATGCATGCCTGTAGTCCCAACTACTTGGGAGGCTGCGGTGAGAGGTTTACTTGAGCCCTGGATGTCAAGGGTGCAGTGAGTTGAGATCACACCACTGCACTCCAGCATGGGAGACAGAGCAAGACCCTGTCTCCAAACCAAAAAAAGGAAAAAAAGAAATGTAATAGATACTTGCTAAGGGCTTTGTATACACTTATTAATGTTACTTCTCATCACAGTACATAGGTAGCAGATGAGGAAATGAAGGCTAAAGGTCATATATCTATAAAGTGGGGAAGTCAGAATTTGAACTCAGAACCTGACTGTGGAGCCACTTCAGTATACTGTCTCCCCATAAGTTCCAGTAGAAAAAAAATGCTACTTAAAAGTAGGAAAATCACAAAATAAGTGCCAATGAACAATACATAAATGTTCAACCTCACTACAGTTAAAATGTATATTAAAGCAAGAGGTAAGATGATACTTTTCTTTATAAAACTGACAGGGATTCAGGGACATTGGGACTCTAATGCTGTTGGTAAGACATGAATACATACTGTCTCTGGCAATCAATACCAGAAGCCTTAAGCATTGCCTTTTCACTTTGTACCTGGAGATGTATATTTCAGAAACCATCATGAATGTATGCAAAATCCTAAAAGCTGTTAAAACTGATTTCAACAGGCTGGGTGCAGTGGCTCACGCCTGTAATCCCAGCACTTTTGGGAAGCCAAGGCAGGTGGATCACCTGAGGTCAGGAGTTTGAGACCAGCCTGACCAATATGGTGAAACTCTGTCTCTACTAAAAATACAAAAAAATTAGCCGGGCGTGGTGACATGTGCCTGTAGTCCCAGCTACTCGGGAGACTGAGACGAGAATTGCTTGAATCCAGGCAGTGGAGGTTGCAGTAAGCCGAGATTGTACCACTGTACTCCAGCCTGGGTAACAGAGCAAGACTCTGTCTCAGAAAAAAACAAAACTGATGTCAACTAATATTAAATGAAGTATTCATGCTATATTGTTAAGTAAAAATATTACAATATGTACCATATGATCCCATGTAAAATATATATTTATGCATTAAAAATACTGAAAATATTTAAACTCAAAGTGCTATACTGGTTATCTCTGGGTGCTGAAGTTGTAGGTGATGTAATTTTTCTCTGGTGTTTTTCTGTGTGTTTTCCAAATTTTTCTATAGTAAATATCTAATACTCTTAGGAGGAAAAGTGAATGGAAGTCCAGGATACTTGAGAAAATATTTTAAAAGGCACTTGCTGGCGGGCACAGTGGCTCACACGTGTAATCCCAATTCTTTGGGAGGCTGAGTTGGGCAGATCACCTGAGGCCAGGAGTTTGAGACCAGCCTGACCAACATGGAGAAACTCTATCTCTACTAAAAATACAAAATTAGCCGGATATAGTGGTGCATGCCTGTAATCCCAGCTACTTGGGAGGCTGAGGTTGCAGTGAGCTGAGATCGCACCACTGCACTCCAGTCTGGGCAACAAGAGTAAAATCTGAAACAACTTGCTTTTCATAGCATCTCTGTTTCTTCCAAGTCTCAGGAAATTAGCTAACTTGTTAATTCCGATCCCTTCATCATTGGTAAAATGACAATGGCAAACATATCCATCTCACACATAGTATATTAAAAAGTCTACAAATTATAAATCCTGGTGCAAAAGCAATTACTTGCCTGAAAGATTTACAGTTCAGAAAAGCAATAGCTTTGAAGTGGAGATCTTTGAAGGTCTTTTATTATTAGAGCTTTTCCATGTATTCTGTAGCCATAAGCAAGTCACCTTCCAACTCTAGACTCTCACTTTAAAGAAGCTGATGTATTCAACATTCCATTTTTTATGAAATGGAAGGGGCACGAATATAAGGTGGATGTCAAAGGAAATTTTTTCTTCTTTCACCACTCTTGGAAGAAAAGTAATTCATGCCTTTCCCTTCTGCTCAGGGCTGTCCTGTTTCTCTTGGTATAGAAGCAGTCTGGGGAGTAATAATGTCTACCTTAAATGAATCTTACACAGATTTTAGAAGATAATGTGCAATTTAGGCAATAACATTGGTTTCCTGCCTTTCCCCACCTTCCTCATTTCCATAGCCTGCGACTAACACATCCAGCTGAAAGGATTGGAAATTTAAAGCAAATCTGACCCTCATCTCTCTCAGCTCATGGAGAACCTGCTGAGGGAAGAAGGAAGTCATGGCAGGTCCACAGGTCTAAGTTTGGTCTTTCTCAGCAACTAGTGTTGAAGATTCCAATCTGGTACATGTGGCCACCTCCTCTTAACAGGACGAGAAAGTCCTCATTCTGATGGACATAGGATGTGTTTATGTTTAAAGATGACCCTTCTTGCTCTCATTCCCATTGTCTTTCAACAACAACTGAATCTCAGATGCCCTCTCACTTTGGTTAACCGCAGCCCCAGAGACTGGCTATTTTAGTTTACTGACATTTTTTGGCCCAGGAAATAGAAACTGAGAACACCAATTCCCTGTCTTCTTCCCACAACCTCTTCCCCATCCTCGTATCATTAGCTCCATGCATGTTGTGTTCCCTATTCCTGAGTGAATAATTTCAAAGCAAACTTTTAAAACTCAAGTTTTATTACATCTTTCATTACATTCTAATAATAAACAGTTGAAGTATACACTCAAAAGTATAAATTTTGAAATTAGTTACCAAAAATTATTTACTAAACAGTTTTACTAAAAATAATAGGATTGGGAAAAATAAACACTAATAGACAGTACTCCAAAATGTTAACGTTTCTATGGACAATGAGATTCAGGGTGGTTTACGCTTTCTCATTTTCTGTATTACCAATATTTAGAATTCACAGTCAGGAGAGAAACCTATTAAATGATATTTAAAACATTAAATCTGATTGTCACCTATAGGAAAAGGCAACTCACTATCCATTTGAAGGATCCCTTTAGACTTCTGATCTACCTCACTTGATAACTGCACAACCTCTAGACACAAAGGGAATGAATTGTCCCCTAAATTTCACCTCCCCTATTAGCCACAACTGCAGTGATATGGTTTGGCTCTGTGTTCCCACACAAATCTCATCTTGAATTGTAATCCCCAGGTGTTGAGGGAGGGACCTGGTGGGAGATGATTGGATCACAGGGGCAGATTTCCCCCTTGCTGTTCTCATGATAGTGAGTGAATTCTCATGAGATCTGTTTTTTTGGTAAGTGCCTGGCATTTCCCCTGCACTCACTCTCTCGCCATCTTGTGAAGAAGATGCCTGCTTCCGCTTCACCTTCAGCCATGATTTAAGTTTCCTGAGGCCTCCCCAGCCCTGCAGAACTGTGAGCCAATTAAACCTCTATTGTTTATAAATTACCCAGTCTGGGGCAGTATCTTTATAGCAATGTGAAAATGGACTAATAGAAGCAGTGATTACAAGTCTTCTTTAGAAATGACACCATCTAGGCCGGGCGCGGTGGCTCAAGCCTGTAATCCCAGCACTTTGGGAGGCCGAGGCGGGTGGATCACGAGGTCAAGAGATCGAGACCATCCTGGTCAACATGGTGAAACCTCGTCTCTACTAAAAATACAAAACATTAGCTGGGCATGGTGGTGCGTGCCTGTAATCCCAGCTACTCAGGAGGCTGAGACAGGAGAATTGCCTGAACCCAGGAGGCGGAGGTTGCGGTGAGCCGAGATCGCGCCATTGCACTCTAGCCTGGGTAACATGAGTGAAACTCCGTCTCAAAAAAAAAAAAAAAAAGAAATGACACCATCTAGAAGGACATCTTAGTAGAGGAATCAAACTTTCTCTTAGATAATTAATTGCCCTCAGCAATTGTGGGTTAATTAAAAATGCCAAAATAAAAATTAGCAGAGAGACTTACAGGCAGAGGTTATAGCACATACAATGAAGATAAGATAGCATCTGGAGACACCCCTTCATCAGGACTCTTCTCTGAAGCAGGAATTAGTTACCATAAAGCCTGGCTCAGAATCCCCATGTGTTTGGTTTCCCTTTTTCTACTTACAATCACAGAGTTGGGGAGCCTATCCTAGACCCAGTGTGACCTATGAGACCCTAAAGTGCTCAGAATTAGTGTGGTGGGAGACTCCGGTGCATCTGATGGGAAAAGGCATGTATGCACACAGGGAAAGAATGCGTATCAGAGGCCCGAGAGACAGTGGGGACTGAAGTATGTCTTATGACTCTGGGACTCAGGAAGTGGGAAGCATAAAGGAACACAGTGATCTGCAGGCATGTATACACATAGGGAAAGAATGCATATCAGAGGCCCAAGAGACAGTGGGGACTAGAGTGTTTGTGTCTCATTACTCTGGGACTCAGGAAGTGGGAAGCATAAAGAAACACAGTGATCTGCCTTCCCAGGCTCCACTATTCCCTGCCCCCTCCCCTCCTTACCAGGCTTGCAGACCCTGAGCTATTATACTTGAGGGCAGTAAATATTTGTTGAATTACTCCCTTAGGTTCCTTTAAAAAAAATAGGTCTATGACAATTTCTGCAGTAGAGTCGTGATGAAGGGGTGTCTCTAGATCCTGTTCTTCTCTTTTCCCCTGCTCTTGCTACCTTCTACCCACCTTTAGGTCTAACTGCGATGTCATCACATCCAGGAAGTCTTTAGTGATTCATAGACCATGTTTAGGTATCTCTGCCATGTACTTTGACAGAATCCTGCATTTTTCCTACCAAAGCATTTATCACACTTTACTGTAATTACTGTTTAGTATATATGCATATCCTATTAGCCCTTAACTCTTGGAGGGCAATGACCATGTTCACCTCAATGCATAGCACATAGCAGGTGCTCAATAAACAAGTAGACCTGCATTGACCTCAGCAGGAAACTCAGGGTTGAGGAGAGAACTGGCAAGGGGGCAGAATGAGGCAGCATTCCTTAGGTACTATTTAACTGCCTCAGATACTATTAAACTAATAGCATAATTCAGTATTTCACAATCTCTGAATCCAACATTTCAGATAGTTGGGTAACTCTCAGCACATGCCTTCACCCGCCAAAATACAAATGCTCTTTCCAGGTACATTTGCCATCTTATAAGATGCTCTTTCAAGATCTGTCCCAATCCTGACACTACTGTGAAGATGCCCAGTGGAAACTGTATCTGAGTTGGCAGAGAGTGGAGTGAAGGGGATACTGATAGGTCTTATCTGGAAATGGGTTAGGCATTTCAAGGAAATATCTACCATTCTTTTTGGAGAAGACCTGGGTAAAGTTTTCTTCCATTCAACATGTCAATAATCATAACAAACATCTTTGTGTGGATGTCCTCTTGGAGTACTGAACTGGGCTGGAAGGACAGAAGTCCTGCTCTCAGGAAACTTCTATTTTCTGTGGAGTCTCACCCCTACAGTGAATTCCTTGCATTTCACAATTGTACAACTCTTACCCACAGAGTTAAACTCTGGTGTGTGTTCTCTGATGCTGCATAAGGCCTGACCTATGCCTAAATGTTTTTCTACATTCACTACATTCATAAGGCTTCTCTCCAGTGTGAATTCTCTGGTGCTGGGTGAGGGCTGAGCTCTGATTAAAGGATTTTCCACATTCATTACATTCATAAGGTTTCTCCCCAGTGTGAATTCTTTGATGTTCAATAAGGATAGAGCTCCTACCAAAAGCCTTACCACACTCAATACATTCATAGCCTTTATCTCCTGTGTGAATTTTCTTATGCTGAATAAGGGCTGAGCTCCGGCTGAAGGCTTTCCCACATTCTCCACATTCATAAGGCTTCTCTCCAGTATGGATTCTCCGGTGCCTGATGAGCTCTGAGCTGCCCCTGAAGGCTTTTCCACATTCACAACATTCATAAGGTTTTTCACCACTATGAATTCTTTGATGTCTAACAAGGTCTGAGCTCAAACTGAAGGCTTTGCCACATTCTTTACATGCATAAGGTCTCTCTCCAGTATGAATTCTCTGATGTCTGATCAGCTTTGAGCTCTGGCAAAAAGCCTTCCCACAGTCAAAGCACTCATAGAGTTTTTCCCCAGTGTGAACTCTCTGTTGTGTAATATCATTTGAATTCATACTGAAACTTCCTTCACTCTCATGAGATTCAAGGACACTGTGTTCTGTGGGGATTCTTTTGTTAAAGGTTGACAGAGTGAAATGTCTTTCCTGAGAAGGAAGCTGACTGATTTTGTTCCCTGCAACATTACCCTTTTGCTTCTTAGAGTTGTCCAGACCTCCCAAAGCTTCTTCAACTATCTGTTCGGAAGGTGTTTCCCCAGGAAGTTTTCCTGGAGATATCATAGCTGCTGAGGCTACACATTCAATAATTTCTTGCTTTGCCATCAACACTTTGCCAGCCACCATCTTGCCGTCTACAAATGTGAATAGAAAGTGCAGGTAGCATTTACTTCCCATGACAGAAGAAAGGAAACTGTTGTAGCAGGAACAGAAAATAAACCTAATGAAATAGATATTTATCTATTAAAAGGACAATTCTGAAAACTAGATTCCCAATCTAGAAATCAGAGAAGTAGCCTGGGGTAGCAAAATACGGCCCCCTCAGAGAGTAATGTAGACAAAGAAATGAATTAGTATTGGAGAAGAGTGACAGTGAACAAGATATTAGTTAGAGGAAATAGTGACAAACAGTAATATTGCTGATAAACCAGGAAGCCAGGAGACAATCCTGGGTTAGAGAAGATGCATTTTTAGATAATGAGATAATGGGGGGAAAAAGTAAAAAGAAATGGTCAGGATAAAGAAAGATATCTAAGAGGCTTAAATCTGTGGTCTCCTAGCAACATCAGAGAGCAGAAGATATGATTAGGAAATACTCTGAGAGTTAGCACTGAACAGAGGTAGGGGGCAGGAACTAGAAAGCATTAAAGCAATTTCAGATTCTGATAGGTTTCAAATGAATCAAATCATTATAAGCAAACAGAATAAGACACAGACCCAGAGAAAAGACATACAGGTTCCTGACTCATTCTTGAGTCAGGTGGGAATTTTTTTTAACATTAAAAATTTTTTTCACTTAAATCATCCATGGATACAAAAGAATCTTATAGTTTTACTTCTTAAAATGTATAAGTGGCCAAAGAAAGGGGTGGAGACAACTCCTTCTTTGAGCATTTATACATAGAAACATGACTGCCCAGAGCCAAATCTTCTGGCTCTCACACAACATGCCCCATCTCTAGTAGTCTCCCATTATGAGTTACTGGAAATCTATCTTGATAACTACAGTAACTCATAATAGGAGGCTACTAGAGATGGAGCATATTATATCAGCCATCTACTGGTTATATCTAGGGATTTCTAGTGACTAGAAATGGCTGATATAACTTGAATTATTTTATTCTGAAAAATTGTTAAGTTGGCCTCATCTTCCCAAAAGTCCTCTAAATGTATATGCATTTTATAGATCAGGAAACAGGCTCAGAGAAGCTAAGTGAGGCCACAGAATTAATAATTGTTGGAGTTAGGATTCAAATAAACATTCTTAACATCAAAGCTTGCAATCTTTATGCTATCTGCCTTCCCAATTGGAAGGATGCAGGGCCATAGTTGCACTGAAATGAAATGTAACTTAAAAATCATTTAAATTTGGCTTTGGAAAAGCATTATATTTTTATATAAAAATGAATACCTATTTCTGATATTGAGTTCACAACATTTCAAACACAACAAAAAAGCATCACAGCTGATACCTGACAAAAGGAGAGGGCTGTCTGGCTTCCCGTTTCCCCATTCCTTACCAGAAATTAAACACAGACAACATCACCTCTAAAATTCATACTGCCCTTAAATTTTAGATAGAAATTTGAATTATTCAGTTTCACTTATTCAAAAAGAAAACATTTATGAAAAAATATGCTTGCATACAATAAAGGCATAAAAATTAAAAGTACCAAATACGTTAAAGTCAGAGACCTGATAACCTAATGATAAATTTTCTAAAAGTAAGAAATAGGTCAAATTATTAAGAGTACCAATTATAGGGTATAAAGTGACAATATAATTGTTAGAACAAAATTAAAGGCAATGAAAATCAGAAAAGCAACGTAACTTATCTTACTTTAAATATATCTTCAAATTCTATAACTATATAAAGTTAAATTATGAGACCAGAGAAAATCTAACCTCAGATGTATACATCAGGAAGACATCAAGATTTTTATTTGTTCAACTATATATTATTATATTAAAAAATCAGAATAGATAGCTAACTAGAGTAATTCTTAGAAAAGACAAATAGAGATTACAATCAGAGGCTGGGTGTGGTGGCTCACACCTGTAATCCCAGCACTTTTGGAGGCTGAGCCAGGCAGATCACTTGAGGCCAGAGGAGTCCAAGATCAACCTGGCCAATTAGCAAAACCCTGTCTCTACTAAAAATAGAAAAATTAGCTAGGCATGGTGGTGCATGCCTATATTCCCAGCTGCTCAGGTGGCTGAGGCACAAGATTCACTTGAACCTGGGATGTGCAGGTTGCAGTGAGCCAAGATCATGCCACTGCATAGCAGAAAGATACTGTCTCAAAAACAAAGAAAAAGAAAGATTACAATAAGAAATGGTCACTTGATTATTTAGAAATACTGGCATAGTGATAACCCAATGAATCCAATTAATATCTCCCAAGAATGAAAACGGATTCATAATCAGGCCCAAGTCTGGAGGCTGGAGGGTGGGGTACAAATGTATAGAAGGCTCTTTGGAGAAGAAATAAATTACAGGTTTCTCTGTTAGAAGAGCTCTTCTGTTTTTGTTTGTTTGTTTTTAACAGAGTCTTACCCTGTCACTCAGGCTGGAATTTAGGGTACAATTATAAGACACTGCAGCCTTGAAATCCTGGACTCAAGAGATCCTCCCCCATCAGACTGCCCAGTAACTAGGAGTACAGGTGCACATCATTCCACCCAGTTAATTTTTTAAATTTTTTGTAGACATGGGGTCTTGCCAGGTTGCCCAGACTGGTCTTGAACTGCTGGGCTCAAGCAATCCTCCTGGCTCAGCCTCCCAAAGTGCTGGGACTACAGGCATGAGCCACCACACCCAGCTAGCTATTCTCTTTAACACACCTCCTGTTACTCCCACTTGTTCTCTGGGGTGGCTCCTCAGTGAGTTTTGCCAGCTCAGCACTTCAGTGAGCAATTCCATCCTGTTTGGTTTAAAATCCTTTTAATTAGGGTTGTGGTCTTCAATTGCACATTGAGGAGTATGCTTTTAGCCTTAATGCTATGTCAGTGATGCCACTGCTCACCTAGTTCCCCTTTACCAATATGATGTCTCCTTCCCTCAGCCACTGTGAATTTTGGCTTCCTATGATCTGAATGTCTCTGTCTCCCAAAAATTCATATGTTGAAGTCCTAACCCCCAAGGTGATGGTATTAGGGAGTATGGCTTTTTGGAAGGTGACTAGGTCTTGAGGGCTTAATGCCCATTTTATAAGGGCCTAGGGTGCTCATTTGCCCCTTACACCATGTGAGGACACATGAAAAGGTGTCATCAATAAGAAAGTGGGACCTCACCAAATACCAAATCTGCTAGCACCTTGAACTTCTCAGCCTCCAGAACTGTAAGAAGTAAATCTGTGTTGTTTACAAGCCATTTGGTTGATGGCATTTTGTTATAGCAATTCTAACAGATTAAAACAGCTCCTAACTACACAGAAGTGCCTCCTTCTGTAGAGTTACCCTGGCTGATGACAGCCACTTGGCCCAGGAAGTACCTTCCTCCCTCATTGCCCCATCTCTGCCTCAAGAAGAGACAATTCTGCAGTGCAATTATGCTTCAGAGGCCCATGAAACACTCCAAGGATTAGACCAAGGCTGATTGTAACTGAGACCACATCACGGCTTGCTCTTTTCCCTTCCTAATCCTGCTTCTCTCCCTCCATTACAGATTTTTCCTGAAGAACACATCCTCAATAAATCACCTGCACCCAAATCTCCATCTCAGGCTCTACTTCTGGCAAGGCAAACTATAAAGCTAGTGAAACACCTACAAGAAACTTATAATTCAAGTTTGTAAAAATGGCATGATGACTCTTACAATCATAACACAGTGGGCCCCTCCAGCAACTTAAACCTCATGACCTAGGTGAAAGCTGTAAAAGGATCCACATTAAATCTTCAGAGGCAGGGCTGACTAGGACTTTAAGACTGAAAAGAGACTAGCATAAGGGAGACTTAAGAGGAACCCAGTCAAGGCCATTCATGACCATGGGACCAGGCATAAACGGAGAATGAGTAAACCTTGTTTAGGCCAAGGACATTGGAAAGATAGAACCACTATTACTGATAAGCTGACTAAATCAATAATATACTGCCACTATGAAGTAGTAAACAAATAAAAAGTTATGGCCGGGCGCGGTGGCTCACGCCTGTAATCCCAGCACTTTGGGAGGCCGAGGCGGGTGGATCACGAGGTCAAGAGATCGAGACCATCCTGGTCAACATGGTGAAACCCCGTCTCTACTAAAAATACAAAAAAAATTAGCTGGGCATGGTGGCGCGTGCCTGTAATCCCAGCTACTCAGGAGGCTGAGGCAGGAGAATTGCCTGAACCCAGGAGGCGGAGGTTGTGGTGAGCCGAGATCGCGCCATTGCACTCCAGCCTGGGTAACATGAGCGAAACTCCGTCTCAAAAAAAAAAAAAAAAAAAAAGTTATAAAATGTAACAGATAAGGGTTGGGGGGGGTGAATATATTTTAAATCAGTCAGATCCTCATTACAGTATTTTATTTTGTCTTGATCCCCAAACCTCAAATGAATGTGGAGAAACTGAAGCATGTCCAGAGAAAAGCGGCAAGATATCCCGACAGACAGAACACAAATGGAATCAGAGGGAGTGAGAGACTTAGTTAAAACAAGATCAAAGTGCCATGTACTCACTCCATTCAAGTATAAATTGTGTTTTATGAGGACTCTGTAAACAAACAAAAGAAAGTGGATTCTTAATAAATTAAAGCTGGGAGTATTTCATATGGACACAAGAAAGAACTTTAATACAGTATGTTTGCTAGGGCTTCCATAACAAAATACCATAAAATGGGTGGTAAATAACATAAATCTCTTTTCTCACAATTCTAGAGGCTAGAGGTCCAAGATCAAGGTGTCAGCAGGTTTGGTTTCTTCTGAGGCCAATCTCTCTCCTTGGCTTGCAGATGATGGCCACTTTTTTTTTTGGTTTTTGGTTTTTGGTTTTGAGAAGTCTCACTCTGTCACTCAGGCTGGAATGCAGTGGTGTAATCTTGGCTCACTGCAACCTCCATTTTCTGGGCTCAGGTGATCCTCCTGTCTCAGCCTCCCAAGTAGCTGGGACTATAGGCATGGACCACCACGCCCGGCTAATTTTTGTATTTTTAGTAAAGATGAGGTTTCACAGTGGTCTCGAACTCTTGACCTCAAGTGATCTGCCTGCCTCAACCTCCCAAAGTGCTGGGATTACAAGCATGAGCCACTGCACCCGGCCACAGATGGCCACTTTCTTTCTAGGTCCCACAAGATCAACCCTTGGTCTGTGTTGTGCCCTAATCTTTTCTTTTAAGGACATCAATTATTTTGGATTAAGCCCACCCTAATGATCTCATTTTAACCTTTATAAAGGTCCTATGTCTAAAAAAATACAGTCATACTCTAAGGTTCTGGGTGGGGGTTAGAGCTTCAATATACAAATTTTGGAGGGACACAACTCATCCTGTAATAGCAATATGAAAAAGTCCAAGAGGCACTTAAGAAATTACCACAGTCTCTGTTCCTCAAGATCTTAAAAAAAGAAAGTAGAAATAATCTATCTAAATGATTTCAACATTTACCTGATTTAAGACAGGGGACTTAAGGAGATGAATTTTCTTTTCTTTAAATTTAAGTTCCAGGATACATGTGCAGGATGTGCAGGTTTGTCACATAGGTAAACCATGGTGGTTTGCTGCACCTATCAAGCCCCACATGTATTAGCTATTTATCCTGATGCTTTCTCTCTGACCCCCATTGGCCCAGTGTGTGTTGATCTCCTCCCTGTTTCCATGTTCTCTCACTGTTCAGCGCCCACTTATAAGTGAGAACATGTGGTGTATGGTTTTCTGTTCCTGTGTTAGTTTCCTGAGGATAATGGCTTCAAGCTCCATCTATGTCCCTGCAAAGGACGTGATCTCATTCTTGTTTATTGCTGCATAGTATTCCATGGTGTATATATACCACATTTTCTTTATCCAGTCTATCATTGATGGGCATTTGGGTTGATTCCATGTCTTTGCTATTGTGAATAGTGCTGCAATGAACATATGCATGCATATATCTTTATAATAGGATAATTTATATTCCTTTGAATGTATATATCCAGTAATGGATCAAATGGTATTTCTGGATCAAATGGTATTTCTGGTTCTAGGTCTTTGAGGAATTGCCACATTGTTTTCCACAATTATTGAACTAATTTACATTCCTACCAACACTGTAAAAGTGTTCCTACCTCTCCACAGCATTGCAAGCATCTGCTGTTTTTTGACTTTTTAATAATCGCCGTTCTGAGTGCCGTGAGATTGTTTCTCATTGTGGTCTTGATTTGCATTTCTCTAATGATCAGTGATGTTGAGCTATTTTTCATGTTTCTTGGTGCATAAATGTCTTCTTTTGAGAAGTCTCTATTCATAATGTCCTTTGCCCACTTTTTAATGGGGTTGTTTGGTTTTGTCTTGTACATCTGTTTAAGTTTCTTGTAGATCCTGGATATTAGACCTTTGTTACATAGATTGCAAAAATGTTTTCCCATTCTGTAGGTTATCTGTTCACTCTGATAATAGTTTCTTTTGCTGTGCAGAAGCTCTTTAGTATAATTACATCCCATTTGTCAATTTTTGCTTCTGTTACAATTGTTTTTGACATTTTTGTCATGAAATCTTTGCCCATGCCTACGCCCTGAATGGTATTACCTAGATTTTCCTCTAGGGATTTTATAGGTTTGGTTTTATATTTAAGTCTTTAGTCCATCTTGAGTTAATTTTTGTATAAGGTGTAAAGGAGGGATCAGTTTAAATTTTCTGTGTATGGCTAGCCAGTTTTCCTATCACCACTTATTAAATAGGGAATCCTTTCCCCAATGCTTTTGTCAGGTTTGTGAAATATCCGCTGGTTGTAGATGTGCAGTCTTATTTCTCAGATCTCTACTCTGTTCTATTGGTCTGTGTCTGTTTTTGTACCAGTACCATGCTGTTTGGGTTATGGTAGCCTCATAATACAGATTGAGGCAGGTGGCATAATGCCTCCAGCTTTGTTCTTTTGCTTAGGATTGTCTTAGCTATAAGGGTTGTTTTTTGGTTCCATATAGATTTTAAAGTAGGGTTTTTTTTTTTCCAATTCTGTGAAGAATGTTAATGGTAGTTTAATGGGAATAGCATTGAATCTACAAATTACTTTGGGCAGTATGGCCATTTTCATGATATGATTCTTCCTAACCATGAGTATGGAATGTTTCTCCACTTGTTGATGTCCTCTCTGAATTCCTTGAGCAGCAGTTTGTAGTCTTCCTTGAAGAGTCCCTTCACTTCCCTTGTTAGCTGTATTCCTAGGTATTTTATTCTCTTTGTAGCAATTGTGATTGGGAGTTAATCATGATTTGGCTCTCTACTTGTCTACTGTTGTACAAGTGTGCAGTATAGGCATAGAGATATAAGAATCTCTGTATATAGAAATGATTGTGATTTCTGTACATTGATTTTGTATCCTGAGACTTTGCTGCAGTTGCTTATTGGCTTAAGAAGCTTTGGGGCTGAGACAATGTGGTTTTCTAGACATAGAATCATGCTATCTGCAAAGAGAAACAGTTTGACTTCCTCCTTTGCCTCTTTTAAGATGAATTTTCAAAGCCCATTTTAACGTAGCACCTGCTTGGTTCCAAAGATACTTAAGAAGGCCTGCTTGACTAATGATAGTATCAGGGTATGATCCCTAGGGAAGGTTGGGAGGGAGTTTCCCAGAAGAATTCAGTGAATGGATGATAAGGATTCCTTTGGTGAACTGCTGAGGTCCAGCATCGGGCCCTTGGGCTTATGTCCACATATACCTAATTTTATCATCATACAAAAAATAGATTTATCTTTTGGGATAGATGCTCATTAACCAAGCCCATGAAACTCAATAATAAAACCAGAATGAGAATTAATGAGTAATATAACAATCACATGGACCACACTGAATGAATGCATTTTCTTATTATACCTAAGCTTCATGGGAAGTTAACAAAATTGCTTGGTGAAGACGAAATCAGAAGTGTAGTCAGATGTAACAAAAGATTAATAAGAACAAGCTAATAGGCCTAATTTATCTGCTGCCAATAAGGATAATTTTGCCAATAACATAAAGTCTTTTCAGTTCTAATCCTTGGCATCTGTGACAGCTATCAATTTATTGCCTCAGTTTCAAATCTACACTTCATTGCCCTGTATGTGATAGTGGAACATTTGCCAGATGGCATGATGTGAGCTTATCAATGGAGGGGGTTGCAGAGGAACTGGAAAAAAGGGCTTTTCTTCCTGGTTCTGGCATGTTCTTTGTGTTTGTTTCTATAGCATATGGGACACCTAGCAGTGGACACCCCAATGATTTCCAAAGACACTATCCCTATGGGTAGCTTCCCAGCGAGTTCTATACCAGGTCATCTCCCCATGAGGAGCTTCTAGCACCCCAGAGTGTGGCTCCTCAATGAGTTCTGCTAGCTCAGCACTGCAGTGGCATCTCCATCCACTGGACTATAGTGTGCCCTCTCCAGCAAGGCCTGGATCTCAGCCCTGGCAGGGAAGGGGAAGTTGTGACACCCTCCTGCAGATTTGTTCCTACCTTGTATGTTCTGCTTCAGCCCTAGAGACACTCTATATCTATTATTCCTATATTCTTTGGAATTTGACTTTCTAACACTTAGCAGTTAATAATTCTTAATATTAAACTTTCCCTGTTCAAGTGATTATATGGTTTCTATTACTGATACAGTATTCATGTCCATCTTAGGGACTGCCTTGCCAATGAAACCAAAATTAAATAACAGAATATTGATCTTTGAATATTATGGATATTTAGCCAGGCATGGTGGTGTACAACTGTAGTCCTAGCTATTCTAGAGGCTGAGGCAGGAGGATCACTTGAACCCAGGGCTTCAAGGCTGCTGCTGCAGTGAGCTGTGGTTGTACCAGTGTACTCCAGCCTGAGTGATACAGTGAGACCCCATCACAAAAAGAAAAAAAAAAAAAAAAAAAAGGAGAGAAAAAAATAATTATGGGTATTATAGAACTTTACTAAAGACTTTAATTCTTAACCCAAAGTTATAAATGATACTTGAATTTCAGATTCTAAACATAGACAAAGGAAGAATATTTCTAGGCAAAGAAGCCTTTCCACAACACTTGGTGATAACCACAAGTGGCTGTCATTAAGAATGAACCATGCCACAGATGACAGTTCTCACCTCCATCCTCAACCCCAAATAGACTGGGGCTTCTCACCTCTCTCCTGGAAAGCCTCAGGCTCCTGAGTCTCACTCTTGCACTGGTTCTGTAAGGGCTTCAGCGGGCTATTCAGAGATTTCAGTGCTCCTGTGGATGTCATTTCCTGCCAGACCATTTCTTGGCCATGAGCTGTGTCCTAGGAGTAATCAAGTACCAGCATTATCATTCTGAGGATACACAAGTAGAAAACTCCTAGAGCAACAGGGCAGCATAAGAAGAATCAAAAACTCATTCAAATGATTACAGAAAAAAAAATAGGACTTAAGAGTCCTAGTGACTTGAACCCAATGAGTGAATAATTAATAACCCAAAAAAAAGAAAACGTGTAATTTTCTGAGAGCTGAGTCAACGCCCCAGTCACAATGGATTCCCCATTACTTAACAATAGATCAAACAAACAAAAATATCTACCTCTTACCTGTTGCCTTGGCTCATCGAGTTCTTTTTCCAACTCCTCCAGCATAGTCACGGCTTCCTCTCCATTCTCTGGCCGATGCTCTCGCACCCAAGCTTTCAGCTCCTCAGGAAGGATGGTCAGGAACTGCTCCAGCACGAGAAACTCCAGGATCTGCTCCTTGGAGTGCACCTCTGGCCTCAACCACTGACAGCAAAGGTCTCGGAGCCGGCTCAGAGCTTCCCGAGGGCCAGTGGAGTCAGAGTAACTAAATTGCCTGAACTGCTGCCGTAATACCTCTTGGCTCCAGGAGTTTCCCTGAAGGCCAAAGTCCTGGCCCCAAACATAATTTTCTTCTTCAACCTTGACAACTATAAGTCCTTCCTGTTCTTCTGGGGCACGGTAAGCCAAGACTGTGGCCTCTCCTGACATTCTGGGCAGAGATAGTCTGAAAAGCCTGACCAGGTGAGGCAGGGAGGAGATAGAGATTTGCGTCTGAGAGATTCCTTCAGAATTCCAACTCTTCAGGATGCTCCTGAGGGTGAACAATGCTCCTGTAACACAGGGAAAATATGCACTTGGAATATAAATACAAGTTTTTGAAGGTCAGTTGCCAGGAAGCATAGCACTGTACAGAAAACTAACAGGGGGCTTCCACATAAATGATATACTTATAGATGATTCAGGATTTTTTCAGGATGTGAAAGAGAAAGTGTGAGTATGGCCAAAATCAATTTGACCTTTAGTAATACTGTTAGGAACAACATTAGGGATGATAAAATAGTGCTTGTAGATTATAGAACACAAGAAAAACACTACAGTATATGATTACATCTCAGAAATAACCACCATTTTATTAAGCACTGGCTGGATACTTAACATAAATTTTATATGCTTTTCCTAACTCTATAAGACAATCAAAATTATGCCCATTTTCCTAACAGGGCTACTGAAAGTCATAAGCTGACCAAAGACACACAGCCAGTGAGCAGCAGAACTGGGCTGCAACCAAAGTCTTTAGCTATTTCTATTAGTTATGGGGTATCCCAAAAGAAGGGAACTCACACTTAATAACCACCTACTATGGACCAGGCACTTTACAAATACTGTTTTACTGGAGCTTAAGAATAACATCATAAGGTGTTATCATCTCAATTTTACAAATGAGGAAACTAAGTTTCCCAAAAGCCAAGTAATTTGTCCAAGCCTACAAACTGGTAAATAGCAAAGTCGAGATATAAACCCAGGTTGCTCAACTCTACAACACTTGCTCTTTTTATTTATTTTTATTACAGAATGGGTTGATGTCCAGGACAATCTTGGTGGATACTAAATTAGAAATGATGGTGAAATGTCAGGAAGGGACCATGGAGAATGGGCAAGGTCAAGGTACAAACAAGGAAAAAATATTCTTGAGTCACAAGGTTCTGAAACAGCACAAAGAAAAATGGATTTTTTCAACAAATACTTGAGCATTTACTGTGTGCTACGCAGTGTATTAAAGAGAAGTCTCAGAATTAAAATATCTGTCCCAAATGACTCTTAGTGTAGTATTGGAAAGCAACAGGTAAACACAGTGATAAATCCAAGGACAGAGGTAAGTAGTCAAGGTAGCAGAAGGGAAAGATGGCTGACCAAGACCAAGGAGAGAGGGATGGGAAGAGCCAGAAAGAGCTGCCTGGAGACATCTCAGCAGAGTCTGGTAAGAGTGAGCTAAGTGAGATGGAGAGGAAGGTCACTCAGGCAAAGAGAACAGTAGGTATGAGAGAATGTGGCCCACTGAGAAAACTGAAGGTAGTCTGGGGAGACCAGACTAATTGGTTGTTATTTCTGACTATGGCTCAAAATCAGCCATGAAACATAAACCCCAAGACAGACTTCCTGGATCAGAATCTCCATGGGTGGGGCTTTGATAAGTGCCACAAGAGCTTCTGATGAGTAGCCAGGTTAAGGACCCTGCGCCAGAGCCTGAGCATAGTTAATGAATGGTGAGAGACGAGGTCTAAGAGGTTGTGCTACATAGCTTGCATTTGATCCCCACCACCACAGTGATGGCTGGAAGGTCTGTGTGCCTACCCACAGAGTGGTGTGGAGAAGACATGGGAAGGGGTTTGTTGCAACCATTCAGGAGAGAGACAGTGAGAGATTGAGCCATAGGAGGCAAAAGATAAAAAGATGGGTGATTTGACTGGACTTGACATACTGTATAAGGGATTGGAAGAGAGAGGGGTCCAGGACTTAAGTTTGTGGCTGGCCCTGGTGGCTGGAGGATGATTGTGCTATTTGCTGAGCTATTCATTAAGAAATTTAGAGCTGAGATGCCTACAAAGCAGCATCTCCTAAATGGTGCTTTGCCAGATATTAATAGATTTTTCATACACATCTGAACACAAAAAACCTAGGGATATTTTTCCTTTTAATTTTTTAGTGTAAAATACTAGAGACCAAGCATGATGGCTCATGCCTGTAATCCCAGCACTTTGGGAAGCCAAAGGCAGGAGGATCACTTGAGTCCAAGAGTTTGAGACCAGCCTGGGTAACATAGTGAGATGCCATCCCCACAAAACATTTACAAATTAGCCAGGTGTAGTGGCACTCACCTGTGGTCCCAGCTACTCAGGAGGCTGAAGTGGGAGGATTGCTTGAGCCTGTGAGGTCGAGGCTACAGTAAGCATGATTGCTTTACTGAACTCCAGCCTGAGTGACAGTGTGAGACTCTGTCCCTATTAAAAAAACAAAAAGAGAGAGAGAAAAGAACTTTCAACCCAGAATTTCATATTCAGCCAAACTAAGCTTCACAGGCGAAGGAAAAATAAAATATTTTGTGAACAAGCAAGTACTCAGAGATTTCATCACCACCAGGCCTGCTTTACAAGAGCTTCTGAAAGAAGCACTACACATAGAAAGGAACAACCAGTATCAGCCTTTCCAAAAATATACCAAAAAGTAAAGAGCAGAACATAATGATGAATTTACATTAACTAATGGGCAAAACAGCCAGCTAACATCAAATGGCAGTATTAAACTCACATATATTATTGTTAATCCTAAATTTAAATCAACTAAATCCCCCAATCAAAAGACACAGCCAAAACCCATCGGTATGCTGCATCCAGACCCATCTTACATGCAAGGAAACACAAGGACTCAAAACAAAGGGATGGAGAAATGTTTACCAACCAAATGGAGAGCAAAAATAAATAAATAAATAAAAAGCAGGAGTTGCAATTCTCGCCTCTGATAAAATAGACTTTAAAGCAACAAAGATCAAAAGAGGCAAAGAAGGACATCACATAACGGTAAAAGGATCAATGCAACAAGAAGAGCTAACGATCCTAAATATATACACACCCAATTCAGGAACACCCAGATACATAAGACTTATAAAGGGACTTAGACTCCCACACAATAATAGTGGGAGACTTCAACATCAATATTAGACAGATCAACGAGACAGAAAATTAACAAGGATATCCAGGACTTGAACGCAGATCTGGAACAAGTAAACTTAATAAACATTTATAGAACTCTCCACTTTAAATACACAAAATATACACTCTTATCAGTACCACATCACACCTACTCACAGGTTTAAATGAAATATTGGTTGGCTTGTTATTTTCTTCCCTCATTTTTTTTTCTTTAAAAAAAAAAAGCAGCATCATACGTTCATAAAAATACATCTCTAACAAGGCTTCCAATCCCCCCTCTACCTCACCAGAAATGCTAACTTATTTACTGATTTACTTAAAAGAAAAACATATGTTTACTCAAAAGGGTAACAGAGCACAAGCTACTATGAAGAACTGAATGATTACTAAGGGCCAGAGCTATAGAAACAGATGTAAAAACCTTATGAAAAGAATAGACCTTAAGGAGATAAATGCTCTTAACCCCATCAGTGCAAAGTTCCTTGCAGCAATCATGACATTCACTAAGAATTGAGGAGAAACAATTAGCTCCTTTACTCATGCAAAAAAAAAAAAAAGAAAGAAAGAAAAGAAAAAAAAGAAAAAAGAAAGAAAGAAAAATACTAAACACATTTCTTTAGTTCTTATGTGACAACAGACATTTAAGAAATTTCATATCTTTTTTTTTTTTTTTTTTTTTTTGAGACAGAGTCTCACTCTGTCACCAGGCTGGAGTGCATTGGCTCAATCTTGGCTCACTGCAATCTCCACTTCCTGGGTTTGAGCCATTCTCCTACTTCAGCCTCCAGAGTAGCTTGGATTACAGGTGTGCGCCACCACGCCCAACTGATTTTCGTATTTTTAGTAGAGTCAGAGTTTCACCATGTTGGCCAGGATGGTCTCGATCTCTTGACCTCGTGATCCACCTGCCTCAGCCTCCCAAAGTGCTGGGATGACAGGCATGAGCCATCATGCTTGGTCTCTAGTATTTTACACTAAAAAATTAAAAGGAAAAAATCCCTAGGTTTTTTGTGTTCAGATGTGTATGAAAAATCTATTAATATCTGGCAAAGCACCATTTAGGAGCTTTGCCCAGCCATTTCATCGTATCTTACTCTGAGCAGAGTAATAGGAAAACAAAAGTTTTTCTTAAATAAAATTTTGTGACAATCAATGCATTGTCAGATCTGTGCATGGATGTGTACATAGCATTTCTCAAGAGCTACATCACATTAATGTGCGTTTTTCATTTAGTGACCATTACTCTATGTTATGTCCCTTGCCTTTTAATGTTTGTGATATTATTCAATTTTTAATGTAAATATTATGCCTAAGCAACTAGTCCTCCATGGGTGTGTGGCTGAGGGAAGATCTTGGTCATAAAGACTCATCTCTGCTCCCTCCCCATCACCTTCACAGGTTCACCCTCCGCTACATCGGTCCATCAGGTGAACACTAAGTCCTCTATTTTCACTCTCTACTTTCCTCCTAGGCAACTTCATCCTAATCTTTGGTTACCATTCAGTCTAGACCTCCCATCTGAGCTCCTGAGCTGTTTACTCACGGTTCCTCACTCCCATCATAACTACTCCTGAATTTCTCAAAAGGACCTCAAACTCGTCACGTGCATAACCAACTCATGATTCTTCCCTGCTCCTCTCCCAGTGGTCCTTCTCAAGAAGTAGGAACATCCATTTGGCTGCATACCCAGAAACATGGAAGCATCCCTAACACGGTCCTTTCCCCTACCTCCTTCCTTCCTTTAAATCCTGTTGATTTTATTTCCTCTTAAAGAATCTGCCCTTCCCCATCTCTGCCACCATCTTCAACCCAGTAATCACCACTGGCTTCCCGCATTCACTCAGTCCCCATCAGTCTGTTATCTACATTGTAACCAGAGTGATCTTTACACATTGTAAACCTGATCACATTCTTCTCACCAGTTTTTTAAAAGTAAAAACAAAAACCTTCTAACCAAGGTGAGCTTAGATACAGCCCTTCCCTTTGGGAGAAAGTGAGTCCCCAGTCCTCATCCAAGCAACCCAGATGGAACCTCCAGGGTACTTTTGGCCAATCCTGACTGCAGCAGCATCACTGTTATTATAATGTACCTGTATTACAATGTCATGTAACAGATAATGTATCTGTTTGCTTACTTAATTGTAATAGAAAACGCTAATTGAGGCTTCACGAGAGTCAAGCTCTGTCTACCGGCTTTAAGTGTCTTATTTCATCTTCACAGCACTCTATAGTGTAAGTTCAACCGTTCACTTGAATACTAGAGAGGTTACATAATTTGTTCCAGGTCATGTGCCTTGTAAGTGATGTAGTCTGGAATGTTCTGAAACCAAATAATCTGACTCCAGAGTCCTTACTTAGACGCCTACTCTGCTAAAATGCCTTTTCACATTTGGACTCCCCACCAAATTAAAGAACCCTTCAGAAGAGGGCCTTTGTTCTCCTCACATTTGATATTTGAGTGCCTATTTGTGCAGGTATTTGTGCCAAGTGCTGAGCGAAGAGTTATAAAATAAGACAGTGTCTTTGCCATTACAGAACTTAAAAACAGTAGGAAGAGGCAGACGTTAAATAGAAAGCATACATAATTACCTGACTTCATTGTGACCAAAACTATAAGAGGGAAGGCAGGAGCTGTTCTTAGAGTGACTGAAAAACGATCTAGCCCAGACTCGGGGAGCCAAGAGAAAGGCTGAGACCCGACTCAAAAGCGAGCTTTGGCCGCGTGAGAAATGGCAGGAAGGAGCCTGCTGGCGCGCGTCCGACTCCTGAGCCTGCAGCCCGGCACAGGACGCGCTGGGTAAGTGCCTGAGGAGTCAGCTGACCGAAAAGGCGGGTGGCTGAATGGGCAAACGGATGGCGGGACTGACACACCGAGCGGCGGGCGGAACCCCAGGTACAGCCAACGCCCGGCCTGTGGCCGAGGGGTCGAAGAAAGGCGGCCGCGGAGGCCGGACGCGGGACAGTGGCAGTTTGGGAAGCACCCGGGACTGCCCTACTGGACCGCCCCACTCACTTTCGCTCTACCCGCTGAGGGCACCCACCCCGGGGAGAAACACAACACACTCGGCCGCCCGCGCGCCGGAAGTGGGCGCAGGCGTGCCCCTCTAGCAGGCCGGAGGACCGCAGCTCTGTGGCGGGCGCGGGTAGCGAGGAAGGGCGCGAATGCGGCTTAGACCTGGCGGGGCCATCCCAGAGTCCAAACGGTTGATTCGCGGCTGAAAGGGCGGAGAGCAGAAGATACATATTAAATGTCATTATATATTCGATATATATTTTAATATATAAAAATAATACGTATATATTCAAACATATTTTTCCTCCTTCTGTCGCAGGCTAGTATAGCATCGAGAAAATAAAAGCCGATTATCCTAGGTCTACATTTTGAGTGGAAAAGAAGCTGACCACGCTCACCGCAGACGTGCTGACGGCGAGGACTACAGTCGTAAGAGCTGCGGGAGGGCTGGAGCGGGGACGGGTCCTGTCCTGGAAGGCCGAGGACGCCAGGCGCTGCTGAGGGGTCGGAGTGGAGTGCTGGGCGAGAGAAGCTTGTAAGAATTTCCTCAGGGACTCTGCCCTCGAGCTGCGCCTGGCCGCGTGCTGGATGCTGACGCAGGAGGAGGAGCGCCACGGGTTTCCCGCGTAGGAAGCGGCAGGATCCAGGGCACAGCGGGCTGGGGTTCAGGGCACTCGGAATTGGCCCAGCATCTTGGCTGGCCAGAAACTAGGCTAAGGCGTTGGTTAGAGTGAGTTAGGTTGTGGAGAGTGTCAAATACCAGGCTCAGGTGTTAGAAATGCATTGAATCATCAGTGCAGGCTATTCACGTATAATATGGCTAGAACAGTGTTCAGGGCAGTGTCTATACCGTATAGAGTGGATTAAAGGGCCAAAGAGATGAAAGAATACAGGTGACACGTGAATCTAGCAAAATGTAATATAATCTGTGAAAATATGATTAAAAATAGGGCTGACATTGTAATAAAATCTGTGAAAATATGATTGAAAAAGGGATGATATCGCCATGGGAGGTCTTTTGGAAAATAAACGGGATTGTGAAATACCGTTTTGGAATAGGCGGAGGAAAAGGAGTTAGAAGGGGAGCTGCTCAGGGAGCGCCCAGATGGTTCAAACATCATAAAAGCTACGGTGTTTCAGGAGAGGGAACAGGTGACTAGCAGATGCTGCAGAGAGCCAAAAGAGGGTAAGAACTAAGGTGATGCTGGAATTAGGGGGAATGGCAGGAGGACAAGAGAGAGACGTTACCTGTGGACAGTCCTTTCCAGTGGTTCAGAAGAGTTGGTAGACTGAAAATAGAAATAATCTCTTTTTAGAATTGTGATACTGCAGGAAAGGAAAAAGGATACTGATTGAACTAAGCAAAAGAATTGAAAGTATTTTTTTTTAAAAGGGTAGTGGAGGCCTAATTAAATTTGTAGAAAAAAGGGTAAAGTTTAATAGGGACAAGAAATTGAAGATGGGAGAAAAGAGAGCCAGCTGATGGGGAGGGAATGAGACAAGATAGGCTGGTGAAGTTGTCTCAGAAAAGAAGGGAGAGATTTGTTCCTGAATAGGAGGAAAATGGAGGGTGAGTGAAGACAGAAATACTGCAAGAGAGAAGTTGAAGGTGTTTATGTCAGATGACTCTGACCACAAAGGTGTTAATCAGAAGATGTTACAACCAATGACTGAAAGAGACAACTAGGTATTTCAAGTTATGTTCTGTATCTACTATCAATATAGAAGCCATTAACCACATATGGCTATGTATAGAAAACAGCCTGTTTTCTACATGGCATGACAAGAGTAATGCCATCTTGAAGTGAAACCATCATAACGACCAGTGTTTCACTCTTGTATACCAAGGCATTCCCCCAGCAAGGTCAAGAAACAATGCCTCTAGGATAGATAACCTCTCAAAAAGAAACAATACCTGTGGCATACAAAACCCCTCATAAAAATGATTATCTAACTTTCTCACTGGTCAGAGTTTTGCAAGAGGATCTCAGACATGACCAGCTGCTCATGTTTTACCAAAAAAAAGCTTGCTATAGGAAGAATACTTTCTGCAAGGCAGGTATGGAGATCCATCATCTTAAGTCCCTACTAAACGTTTCTTTCTGAGAAGCTACATTTGTCTGTTCAGCTACCTAAACACTTAGGGGCAGGTTTACATATACTTGCTTACTTGATATATGGCTGATAGGAACTGAGGAAGTAAAATTTTCATTTCATTGAATTTTAATTAATTTACATTTAAATTGCCACATGGGATTAGTGGTTCCGTAGTGGACAGTGAAGCTAGCCTATACTGGTTAAAAACCCAATGAGTGAAATGAACAAAGTAAACACAGCAGATTTCTAATGAAGCAGATCAAATAATGAGTGGCCAAAAAAAAAAAAGACTACAAAGTTGTCTTCTATGTAAAAGTACATAAGAGCATACTCAATTTGTTCATTTCTGTAAAGGATCGAGCAACACCGTGTTTTATGTAAGTACCCAATTTCCCCATTTTTAATGAACAAATACATACCAATACCTGCTAACACTGTGGGGTGGGGAGGGGAGAGTGATACATACCTAAGAAAATTAGTGACTTCAGTAATAAATGCTTCTCTATCATTTATTTTCTTTTAAAAAATGTATTAACATCTGAATATATTAATGCATGTACTTTAGATAATAAAGTATCAATTTTGGTCAATTTTGACAAATACATCAATGAAAGATGTTAATATAAAGAAATGTATGTGAAGGTATATGGGATGTCTCTGTACTATCTATCTTTGCAATAATAGATAAATTGAATTTTAAAATATCTTAATACAAAGATGGCAGGAATGGGGGAACAGGGAACAAATACCTTTTCTATCCTTCTTTACTGTGGGGCTTCAATAAACTGTTAGACTTACACACTATATCCTCTGTATCTCTTATTTGCTTATTTTTATTTTTGTTTCTCATTTGCATATTTATCACCTATTTTCCAGATCACTAATTCTTTCTTCAGTGATAATGTGCTTTTAAATACATTTATGTAATTAAATTTTTAAATCCAGTATTTCTCTTTGGTTCAAATTCATATTCATTTTATTTTACTTTATTTATTTTTTGAGACCGAGTCTCTCTTGCCCAGACTGGAGTGCAGTGGCGTGGTGTCAGCCCACTGCAACCTCCACCTCCCAGGCTCAAGCCATTCTCCTGTCTCAGTCTCCTAAGTAGCTGGCATTACAGACACAAGCCTCTGCTGCCCAGCTAATTTTTTGTATTTTTAGTAGAGACAGGTTTCACCATGTTGGCCAGGCTGGTCTTGAACTCCTCACCTCAAATGATGCATCCACCTCGGTCTCCCAAAGTGTTGGATTACAGGCACGAGCCATCGTGCCCCACCCATGTCCATCATTTTCAAAATTTTTTTTTTTTTTTTTTTTTTTTGAGATGGAGTCTCACTCTATGGCCCAGGCTGGAGTGCAGTGGTGTGATCTCGGCTCAATCCAATCTTAGCTTCCCGGGATTCAAGCAATTCTCCTGCCTCAGCCTCCCAAGTAACTGGTATTACAGGCATGTGCCAATATGCCAAGTTAATTTTTGTATTTTTAGTAGAGATGGGGTGTCACCATGTTGGCCAGGCTGGTCTCAAACTCCTGACCTCAAATGATCTGCCCACTTCGGCCTCCCAGAGTGCTGGGATTACAGGCATGAGCCACCGCACCCTGCCCATTTTAGAGATATTTTTATGGTAAAACAGGCATGCCATTAAATTTCCCATTTTAACCATTTTTAAGTGTACACTTCTGTATTAGCCCATGTTCACACTGCTGATAAAGACACACTCGAGACTGGGCAATTTACAAAAGAAAGAGGTTTAATTAGACTTACAGTTCCACATAGCTGGGGAGGTCTCACAAACATGGTGGAAGGTGAAAGACGTGACTCACATGATAGCAGCAAGAGGGAGAACGAGAGCCAAGCAAAATGGGTTTCCCCTTATCAAACCATCACATCTCATGAGTGAATTTTACAAAAGGTTTGCTTTTCTGTCATGTATTTAATATACTTGGTATTTGTTTTGTGTGCAGTTATAAGGCAGGGATCTAAAATAACTATTTCTAGATGAATAACTAATTATCTGTGAATCACTTATTGAACTGTCCTTATCCACACTGGTCTTCATGCCAGGTCACTCACCTACATTATTCATCTTTGAGCCCACACATAGTGTTGTGATGGAGAAGGCTACAGGCTATTCCATCCATCTATAAAGTTAGCATAAGAATGATAAAGAATACATAGACTACAGGTCACTCAATATTCTTATCAAGCTTATGCTTTTCTAGTAAGCTCACCTTTGCACAAAGTTTATTTCAAGCCATCTCCTCAAGCATTATTCTCCTCATTCCTCATTCTTAAATGATGATATAACCTTCTTCTTCCCAATGAATTGGAACCACCTCAGTTTACCACTAACCTACCTGAGCTTGCAATCATTCTCTCCTGTCATCTTAGTATATAAGGGTCACTCACTCTTCCACTTGTACCTTGGATCCCATCTCCTTTCTCATCAATCATATGCTGTCAACTGTTCATTCTCTTCCTGTGTCATCTACTGTCTCTCATGGATTCTTCCTGCTATCGTTTACACATTTACACATTACATATCTTTCCTATCTTAAAAGTTATCAGGCCACCAACCAAGCAAATAAACCATCCCTAAACTCTACTATTACTCTATTTCTCATTTTCTTTTATTCATAACTGACTTATTGAAGTTGGTCTATACATTCTCTATTTCCAGATATCCCATTTTCTTCTCATGCTGGTTCTCTTCGAAGTTTGTTTTTTATCACAAAGAGGTGCTGGATTTTGTCAAATGCTCTCTCTGCATATTTTGTCCTTTTTTCTGTTGATACAGATTTGGCTGATTTTTAAACTGATGCTCAGATGCATTCCTGGGATAAATCCCACTTGGTCATGGTGTAAAATCATTTTTTATATGTTACTGAATTCAGTTTACTAGTATTTTGTCAAGAATAACAGATATTCTGTAGTTTATGTTTCTTGTGATGTATTGTACTGATTTGGATATTTGGATATCAAAGTAATACTGGCCTCATGAAATGAGTTGGAAGGTGTTCCTCCCTCTTGTTTTGGGGAGGGGGAGAGTTTGTGAAGAACTGGTATTAGTTCATCGTTAATGTTTGGTAGAATTCATCAGTGAAGCCCATGGGCTTCTCCTGCGTGGTTTTTTTTTTTTGTTTTTTTTTTTTTTAAATTACTAATCAATCTCTTTGTTATACATCTATTCATGTTTTCTATTTCTTCTTTAGTCAGTTTTCTGTCTCCATGGCATATCAGAGACCTTCATGGCAGCCCCTCCCATCACAGCCTGGAGGCCTAGGAGGAAAAAATGGTTTTGTGGGTAGGGCCCAGGGATCCCCTGCTGTGTGCAGCCTAGGGACTTGTTGCCCTTCGTCCTAGCTGCTCCAGCTATGGCTGAAAGGGGCCAACATAGAGTGCAATGGCTTCGGAGAGTGCAAGCTGCAAGCTTTGGCAGCTTCCATGTGGTGTTGAGCCTGTGGGCACACAGAAGTCAAAAATTGAGGTTTGGGAACCTCCACCCGGATTTTAGAGGATGTATGAAATGCCTGGATGTCCACGCAAAAGTTTACTGCAGCGGCAGAGCCCTCATGGAGAATCCCTGCTAGAGCAGAGTGGAAGGGAAATGTGGGGTCAGAGTCCCCACACAGAGTCCCCACTGGGGCACTGCCTAGTGGAGCTGTGAGAAGAGGGCCATTGTCCTCCAGACTCCAGAATGTTAGATCCACTGAAAGCTTAAACTGTGCACCTGGAAAAGCCACAGACAATCAACACTAGCCCATGAAAGCAGCCAGGAGGGGTGCTGTACCCTGCAAAGCCACAGGGGCAGAGCTGCCCATGGCCATGGGAGCCAACCTCTTACATCAGTGTGCCCTGGATGTGAGACATTAAGTCAAAGGAGATCATTCCAGAGCTTTAAGATTTGACTGCCCCACTGGATTTCAGACATACATGGAGCCTGTAGCTCTTTGTTTTGGCCAATTTCTCCCACTTGGAATAGGTGTATTTACCTGGTGTTTGTATCCCCATCATATCTAGGAAGTAACTAACTTGCTTTTGATTTTACAGGCTCATAGGCAGAAGGGTTTTGCCTTGTTGCAGATGAGACTTCAGATTTGAACTTTTGGGTTTATGCTGGAATGAGCTAAGACTTCAGGGGACTGTTGGAAAGGCATGATCATGTTTTGAAATGTGAGAACATGAGATTTGGGAAGGGCCAGGGGCAAAATGATATGATTTGGCTGTGTCACCACCCAAATTTCATCTTGAATTGTAGGTGCCCATAATCCCCACATATTGTGGGAGGAACCTGGTAGGAGGTAACTGAATCACAAGGGCAGCTACCTCCATGCCATTCTTATGACAGTGAGTTCTCATGAGATTTGATGGTTTTATAAGGGGCTTTTCCACTTTTGCTTGGCACTTCTTCCTGCCACCATGTAAATTTCTTGAAGTCCCTTCAGCCAAGCTGAACTGTGAGTCAATTAAACCTCCTTCCTTTATAAATTACCGAGTCTCAGGTATGTCTTTTTATTTTATTTTATTTTTATTTATTTTTTTAACAGAGTCTTGCTCTGTCACCAGGCTGGTGCAGTGGCATGATCTCGACTATGGCAACCTCCAACTCCCTGGTTCAAGTGATTATCCTGCCTCAGCCTCCCAAGTAGCTGGCATTACAGGCGCATGCCACCACGACAGGTTAATTTTTGCATTTTTAGTAGACACGGATTTTCACCATGTTGGCCAGGATGGTCTCGATCTCCTGATCTCATGATCTGCCCACCTCGGCTTCCCAAAGTGCTAGGATTACAGGTGTGAGCTGCCATGCCTGGCCCTCAGGTATGTCTTTATTAGCAGCATGAGAAGAGACCAATACAGTAGGCTATACCATCTAGGTTTGTGTATGTACACTCTACGATGTTTGCACAAAAACAAAAGCACCTAA